TGCTCATCTTCTTTGGAAGAAATTAGGGGTACTGCCAGGAAATAATATGTCTCTCTATCTTGAACATCTTTTTTGCCGGTTCTTTTTTTATTAATTTATTTTTTACATTCCAATCCCAGTTCCCCCTCCCTCCTCTCCTCCCACTTCCCATACTCCCCCCCCCACCTCCCATCTGCTCCTCGAAGAGGGTAAGGCCTCTCCTAGGAAGTCAACTAAGTCTGTTCCATCATCTTGTTGAGACTCCCTTAGTTTGGTATAACAATAAATCTTTCCACCAAGCCACCAGAGTTCTGCCCCCCAAATAACACACAGAGACTAATATTAGGTACAATGCTGCTGGCCAAATGACAAGGATTTCTTACTTGCTAGCTCAGTCCTAATTATTATCAACCATAACCATAATCTATATATTTCATAAGACTTATCAAACGCCAGCAGCAGGCATCTTCTCTTGCAGGGATCATACGGTGGCTCCAGAGCAGAGAGGAGGAGGAAGAGAACGGCTTCCTGCTTGTCCCTGCTTATATTCTGAGTCTGCCTGCTATGTCACTCCCTGCCTGTATCACAAGACTTTACTACATTTCCCAGAATCCTCCTTGAGTCCTAGTCCTGGCTAGCTTTCTGCCTCATTGGCCGAACAGTGCTTTATTCAACAACCAATAAGATAAACATACACAGAAAGACTTCCCTCATCATTTTGGTCTTATGCTGGCTTAATTCCCAGCACCCATATGGCAGCTCACAACTGTCTGTAACTCCAGTTCTAGGAGATCTGACACTCTCACACCAATGCACATAAAATAAAAAAGCAGGCTGAGCAAGCTATAGGAAGCAAGCCAGTAAGCAGCACCCCTCCATGGCCTCTGCATCAATCAGCTCCAGCCTCCAGGATCTTGCCCTGCTTGAGTTCCTGTCCTGACTTCTTTTGATGATGAACAGCAATGTGTAAGTATAAGCTGAATAAACCCTTTCCTCCCCAATTTGCTTTTTGTTCATGGTGTTTTGTTGCAGCAATAGAAACCCTAAGTATACTTATTGAACAGTGATAAGTTTTGAATCCCCAGTTTTTGGAAACCTGCCACTGTTGATGTAATAAGCCAATCAAACTGAATTAATAAACCCAGGTTTAAAGAACAGAGCAAAGCACTCCTGGGTGACCCTCAAGAGGGTGGGAGAGGTACCAAGAGGCAAATATGGTGGCCAGGTCTTAAGTAGCCTATATATGTGGTCTTGAGCAGCCCCCAGTGGAGGAACTGACCCTTGTTGGGCTTTTTGAGGGAGGGTGGAGTTTGGAATGAGAACTTGGGAGAAAGCTTGGGGTGGAATTTCCACCAGAACATTCCAGACTCTTTGGGTATATGGTTGTCAGGGGCTGAGGTGAAGGTTCCATCAGATAAAGCACCAAATAGATTGGACCAGAAAAGTAAGTCCCCTTGACACACAATATTCAAAACACTAAACATACAGAACAAAGAAAATTAAAAACTGCAAGGGAAAAAGGCCAAGTAGCATATAAAGACAGACCTACTAGAATTACACCTGACTTCTCAATGGTCTCAGACTCTTAAAAGCCAAAAGGGCCTGGACAGATGTCTTGCAGACTCTAACAAACCACAGATGCCACCCCAGAGTACTATACCAAGCAAACCTTTCAATAATCATAGATAGAAAAAAGATGATATCCCATGATAAAGTCAAATTTAAGCAATATCTATCTATAATCCAGCCCTACAGAAGATACTAGAAAAAAAAACTCCAAACATAGGAGGTTAACTACACCCATAAAAACACAGGAAATAATCTTACACCAGAAACACACACACACACACACACACACACACTACTAACAGACACACCAACAACAACAACAACAACAAAATAACAGGAATTAACAATCATTGGTCATTGATAACTCTCAACATTGATGGTCTCAATTTCCCAATAAAAAGACACAGACTTACAGAATGGATATGAAAACAGGATCCATCCTTCTGCTTCATTCAAGAAACACATCTCAACATCAAGGATAGACATTACCTCAGAGAAAAGGATTGGAAAAAGATAGTCCTAGCAAATGGACCTAATCAGGAAGCAAGCTAGTGTAGCCATTCTAACATCCAACAAAATAGACTCCAACCCAAAATTAATCAAAAGAGGAAAATCAAAGGAAAAATCCACCAAGATGACATTTTAATTCTTTTTTTTGATAACATGGATGGATTTATTTCATAAGATTCAAGTGCAAACTTAAAAATAAAAACAAACAAAGCTTTTCAAGAGAAAACACAAAAAAATCTAAAGAACAATCATACAATTGTGCATTTTAAAAGAAAGTACAAATATGAATACAAAATTTGTAACTATATTCAAAATTAAAATTATTACTTCCAGTTCCCAAATGTCACACAATCTTTAACCTGTTCTCAGCTTGTCACTGTAGAAACATTTGTCATATGATACCGGGAAAGTATAGGCAAAGATTACTACTCAGTCTCTATGAACAAAGAAATAGGACTCTCCCTCACTTCGGACTATATGAATTGTTCCCCAGTATTTTATTTCTTAAAGGTCATATAATCATACCTACAGTCAACATAAAAAAGTAAGTACAAACAACAAGGAAACAAGACCCGTTCATGTAATTAAAGCAAAAATCATGAGTGTTCAACTTAGAAATGTATACACTTATAATCAATATTAAGTACAGCTTTACTTGATGGCTGACATGTAATAATTGTGAACAATTCAAATAGGTATAAAAATGGAGATCAAAATCTGTAGGCTCAAATACTTAAAAGTCACTATGAATATGAAAAATATTTCTGTTTACATAAACATGTGTATTTCTTATGAAAAGTCAGGGGGGGGCAGTGGCATCTCCCTGGTCCCTTAACATGTTTGGATTTTCATGAAGAATTAATTAGCAGCACCCAACCTTAAGTGTTAATTACGTGATTCTTAAGGACCTAGTCAACAGATCAGTTGGCAGTGTTCCAGCTTTTGGGAGATGGGGTGGGTGGGGTGGAAGTATCTGAAGTAACATACTATACATGCACTCACATTTAAAAATCATCATTCCAAATGGAAACACATATTGGAAAAGCCTAAGAAAACCACCCTTAAAGGACTGCCAGGGGGCAGGAGTAAATAGAAGCTGAATAGTAGTCTACTTGATAATGATGTCTTTTCACACTTCAAAGGCAAGTTGGGAAGCATGAGAATACTCACATATTACTTCAGGGAAAACTTGCCGCCAATTTTATTCTGTGGAAGTATATATATATAGACATACATATATATATATATATATATATGTATGTATATATGTACACATGTGTGTGTATAAAATGATACGATAAAGTGCAAAGAATAACAGTATTAAGAATTTTTGCTTTTTACAGTAACTATGGTTCAAGTGCGAATATCTATCAAGAATATATAATCCCAGACTTTAACTGAAGATTTAAAAAGAAACCCACCCCAAGTTACTGCACAAACAGTCCTTAATCAAGTAACCCTGCCCTTCTCCCAAATCTAGCATTTCCAGTCTCTAACTCTCCGTAAACAGGAAAAGTTGTAACAGTGTTTTCTTCCCTTTAACTTCCCCAGGCTCATCCAAGACAATTAATCACCCGTAGGTTTGAATGAGATTTTTGAGGAAGCCATTTATCATAACCCGCTTTGCTGAAATTAAAGCAAATGAAAGGCTCTCTGAAAAGCACACTACTGATCAAGAATCCAGTCAGCAACAGCAAACAGACCATAAATTACAAATGTAATTTAATACAAGCACATTTTAAAATTAAGCCCTGTTATCAATGAGAAATTCAGTCTAAATCTTTTTTTTTCCCAGTATCAGTGCTATACAAGGATCCTAAGCCTGAATCTTTATGATATCATGAATTTTCTAACAGAAAAACAGTATATCTTGTTGGATTTCTTGGTCTCTGTCTTTCACTAGATCACATACAGAAAGGCCACTTTTACAAAGTGTACTTTCCTCTTAAGACATTCAGATAATTACAGTTGCTGATTTTAGTTCTCAGGCACCCAAAGGAGCAGGGGAGCTTCCCTTCAAACATGTCACTAGATATTTTTGGTATGTATATGTTGTTTTTATTCTTAACTTGTCTCTATGTCTAAGCTATATGACCATCATGATCTTAAAATAATACCTTCTAAGATACCTTCTCCAGATTATATTACAACTGATGTTTTTCCCTTCAAGGTAAATGGTTGGAAGAGAATTTTAAAGTCCTGCGGCACTTCTGCTTTAAGTAATGTTAATACACAATTTTGTCATGATTACTGTTGAAACTTCTGAACTAGGAAGACAATAGACACTGGAAGCTGTTAATTTCCTCAAGTACATCTACACCAACTCCAATTCACTTACTTTAGCATGAAGTATCTTTTCTTTATAAAAACAAGTGTATCTAAGGCTAATTTTAAAAAACAGAATTTCTGCTCTAAAATTAATAATACAGCTAAAGGGAAATGTCTTTTCAATTTCAGCTTCACTAGAACTATGCAAAACTAAGTTAAAGTAGACTCAACTATTTTAACCACTTTTGGTTGTTTTTTGTTTTTTATGTCTTTAGAAGATATACCTTGCATTCTAACAGGTCAACAAAGGCTTAAAGTCTAGAACTGAAAACCATCAGGCCACCTCCTGTGCAAATGTAAATAAGAGTGACATTTTATTTGCCCCCATACATTCACTTGTTCTTAAATTCCTTCCTTTTAAAGTTGAAGGCATCTGTTACCAAGCCAGTTTCAGGGGTCCATGGCTCCGGGCTTAATTGAACCTTGATTGGAATTTCAAATCCCTCTAATTTCATAGCATTTGCAGCTTCTCGGATTTCTTTCAGTATTTCAGCTTCCATGGCAGGGTTATTGCAAATATCAACCCAAGATCCTTCTACCCCTTTCTGTTGTGCCAAAAGCGTCAACTTTTTCTGACATAGGACTGGTCACTTTTGGCAAAAGCACAGATGTTGTCAATCAGTGGACAATTCCTGAGTTTGAGGAGACAGTGGGGTCCCACCAGACAGCATCATCCGGACATTCCCTCCCAGCAGAGCCTTCACCTTTTTAAAGAGTAACAGATTACAAAGAGAAGCATCATATCCCTTTTTGATTTGTTCTAATTTGTAATCATACCCTATTTTGAATAGACTTTTCTGAATATAATTCATCTCTTGAACCTTGCTCATAACATTCTTATAAATTCTATCCATGATTTCCGGAACAGCAGCCATAAGAGTGGGTTTCAGCACAGTACAATCACCCTTGCTTCCCTTCTTGATTTTGCTGGACTGGTCAGATAATGTAAGTGGAGAAGAATATCCAATCCTACAGCCATAGGTAAAGTAAGATATCTCTGCTGTCAATTCCAGCATATGAGCCAAGGGTAAGTAACCAATATACGTGTCCTTTGGTCCAAGTCCAGGTATTCTTTCACACTGGCCTGTTATTCCAGCTATCAAATTGCTATGATGAATCATCACTCCCTTGGGTCGGCCAGTAGTGTACATGACAATGGCCATGTCTGAAGGAGTTGGTCGATTTGGAGGAATGCTTGAGTTTTCTGGCTTGGATCCCAACTCTTCTACTGATTGCATGTTGTGAATCTCAAACCCGTCAGGGTACTCTGCTTTATTGATAGTCTTATTATCCACATAAATATGTTTGACACAACTGATATCTAATAATGCCGCCTTCAATTTGCTTTCCAGAAGTTCAACACTAGTAATCAGATAGGAAGCTTCGGATTCATTCAACCCATGAACTACAGCTTCTTTGCCAAGTGTGGCATATAAAGTCACAAGGGGAAAGTTGTACTTGAAGCAGGTCTGTGCTGCAATCATCCACTCAGCCCTGGTCTCACAGAAAATGGCAATGGTGCTCTTTGGTTTCAGTCCTGTAGGGAGTAACCCTAGCCCCGCCCAATAGTCCTGGGGCAGGTACCCGATATTGGATTAAGGTCTCTTTATTTCTAAGTACAACCGGGTGAAACACAGGCCAGAGCTAGGTTAAGAACCCAGCCAGCGCGGCCAGAACAAAGAGAGAGCCCGGTCCCCACGTACAGTCCTTTAAGATCGTTTTTCTTCTTAGCATTGGTAAGAAAATACCATGGAATAAATATAAGGGCACTGTATATTGTTATTAACAAGTGGACAGGCAGCAATATAATGGTGAGCACATTTAGCTTAAGTTTCATAGTGGAAAGGCTTCTAATATGGCGCTTATTTGTGGTTATTCTTTGGCTTCTCAAAGCCTTAGGTTTCTGGAGAAGGTCTTCACTCTGCAGTTCACTTCAAGATATTTTATCCATTTATAATTCCCGAGAATTAACTTCTTAAAAACCTTTCCATTGGGCTGCATTTCGTGTTCTTCACTTAGGATTTCCCTGGTCCCAAGGCTGTCCTTCTTTCCAAACTTGGCTACAGCATGGTCAAATAATTTATCCAGAGTATCAGCTCCAGGGATGTCTATGACAGCTAGTGAGTGGAAGTGCGTGACAGAGCGATATGGACTTCCAGGTTTGTCTGAGGTGGGCTTAGCTTTTATTCTCTTTGCCATAGTGTTTTTCTTCTTAGCATTGGTAAGAAAATACCATGGAATAAATATAAGGGCACTGTATATTGTTATTAACAAGTGGACAGGCAGCAATATAATGGTGAGCACATTTAGCTTAAGTTTTATAGTGGAAAGGCTTCTGATATGGCGCTTATTTGTGGTTATTATTTGGCTTCTCAAAGCCTTAGGTTTCTGGAGAAGGCAATAATGGAAGCAGCACTAAGAGTAGCAGTATAGCCAAAGTAGTTCAATTTTAGTGATACAGATAAGTTAGTAATCTTTTGAAGCCGACAATAAAGTACACAGGTTTCTTCTTTCCCTTTTAAGAAGAACGGGTATATTTCCCGTGATTGATTGTACAGAATCAAAAGGAGCCAAATTTGTAGAAGCAGGAGAGAACAGTGGTTTACCAGGATCTAAGGTTCTGTCTCGTCCACCCACCACGTCTCCGCCGCTTGGTCCGGCCTTAAGGGGAAGGAAGCTCATGGAGAGGAGCCCGCGTGCCCGCTAGCTCTGGAGCTGCCTTGCAAGGAGGGGTGCGCTGCGGAGGCCAGTGGAAAAAAAAAAAGCCCCAGAGGCCAGCAACCCAGACTGCCAGCGGAGGCGGGGCGCAGCGCGAGCCCGGAAAAGACGCGCCAGGAGGGTCCACATTTTAATTCTTAAATCTGTGCCCCAAACACAAGGTCACCCATCGTGTAAAAGAAATACTACTACAGCTTAAATCACAAATGGACCCTCACCCACTGATAGTGGGAGACTTCAATTCCCCACTCTTACCAAAGCGGATAATCCAGACAAAAGTAAACTGAGAAATGCTGGAGCTAACAGACATTATCAACCAAATGGACCTAACAGATATCTACAGAACATTTCACCCAAACATAAAAGAATTCACCTTCTTCTCTGCATACCATGGAAGTTAATCCAATAATGACCACATACTTGGTCACAAAGCAAGTCTCAATAGACACCAAAAATTGAAATAACTACCTTCATTCTATCAGATCACCATGGATTAAAGTTGGACATCAACAACAGAAACAACAGAAAGCTTACCAACTCATGGAAATTGAACAAGTCTCTATTGAATGACAAATTGTTCCATGGTTAAGAGTGCTTGCTCCTCTTCTACAGGACCTGAGTTTGTACAGCACCTGTAACTCTAGTTCCAGTATATCATGTACCTACCCTCTTTGCCTTCCAAAAACAGTGCATTCACATGTACAAAATCACACACAAACACATAATTTAAAAGAAAATAAATCTTCAGCTCAACAGTTAAGAGCACTTGCTGCTCTTCCAGAGAACCTGAGTTCATTTCTCAGCACCCACATCAGACAGTTCACAACAACTTGTAACTCCAGCTCCAGGGGATCCATTGTACTTTTTATGGCCTTGTCAGGCACCTAAACTCACACATTCACAGACCCACACATATATACATACTTAAAAATAAATTTAAAACAACAACAAAAATCCTGTGCCTTGATAAGCAAAAAGACCTGGCCTAAAATGCATCCTCCCTTATCAGTGGGCATTAGAATTTAAAACTCAATACTCAGAGGGAGGGAGAAGAATGTAAATGTGAATGTGAATATGAATATGAAGGGCCTTAACCAGATTTTTTGACTGCTTGTTACAAATTCTGTTTGACTCAAGCTAGGCCCAACCATCTGACCCTAGAGGTCTTAGTCATATGAGCCAACACTAACTACACAAGGATTGAAGGCGGTCATTCTCAGACACCCAGAATCTGTCCTCTGTGGGGCCTGCAATCTAGTTATAAGACTCTGAGGTGTATCATTTTCAAGCATACCTAGGTCACATGAAAGCATGGGTAGGGCAAGAGTCTTGCAGGATCAGAATTCTCATCCACTGCTATGGATGAAAGATCCCACTGTGCACTGTACAAGGATCCCAAATCTTTTTAAATCATTTTATTTTACGTGTGTGAGTGTTTTGCCTGCACATATGTCTAAACACCACACATGTGCCTGATGCCAATAGAGATCAGAAAAGAGGTTGGATCCCCTGGGACTGAAATTATAATGTGAGCCACTATGTGCGACCCAGATCCTCTATAAGAGTAGCCAGTGCTCTTAACCTCTGAGCCATCTCTCTAACTCCACCCTAAATCATGCTTGTCTGCCTCTGCCAGGACTCTTTTGCTCAGAAGGCAGAATATTTCTTTAGCTAATTTGTATGTAGGTTTGCAGGGACTCATGGGGGCCCCTGAATTCTGCACATGTCCCAGTAATCTTTCAGTCACAGACACTGAAGAAAGGGGACTATCTTTTTTTTCAGGGCGGGTGTGAGACAAAGTTCCTCTGTGTAACAGCTCTGGCTGTCCTGGAACTCACTCTGTAGACCATGGTGACCTCCAACTCAGAGATCCACCTGTCTCTGCCTCCATCCTATTCCTACTATCTGCTGGCTCTGCTTCTAAGGAAGACTGGCTCTACTCCTTCCCATGCCTAGCTAAGAGTCACCCTTGAATCTTTCCAATGAATGTCTCTTTTGATAAGAGTTATGTCTTAGTGTTCCTATTGCTGTGAAAACACACCATGACCCCAGCAAGTCTTATAAAGGAAAGCATTTAACTGGGACTGGCTTACAGTTCAGAGGTTTAGTCCACTATCATCGTGGTGGGAAGCATTTCAGCATGCAGGCAGACATGGTGCTGGAGAGAGAGTTGAGAGTTCTACATCTGTATCTGCAGGCAAGAGAGACACTGGGCCTGGTTTGAGCATTTGAAACCTCAAAGCTCACCCCAGTGACACACTTCTTCCAACAAGACCACTCTAACAAGGCCACCACACCCAATCGTGCCACTCTATGACCCTATGGTGGCTATTTTCATTCAAACCACAAGTCTTAAGTGGCTTTTTCCACTGTCACTCTTATCTGAAATCCATGATTATCAACTGATACCTGGTCAACAGCCACCACCCCCCAGCCACCACACTGGAATGAGGAGACAAGAAGCTATAATTACTTGTGATCTGTGCTCCAAGGCACTACTAGATTTTCTTACTGGCCCCTGTATAATTCATGGGTAGGGGAAGTGAAAGAGGCTACTGTTCCCACCTGAATGACATCCAAGGTCTTCTGGAACAAAGCAACACTTTGAGTTTACCTCTTCTCACACTGTCACAGTCAAAGAGGCAAGAGATATGGGTGTCTCATGGGCTTAGACAAGCTAACAGGGAAGATCACCTGAAGAAAATCCCTGAGCATGACTAAAAACCATCTGAAAGGTCATCTGGTAAAGGAGCAACATGTCTGCTTTGTGTGAGGGCATCCCAGTACAAGTGTTCTCTAAAGGTGGGTGGAGAAGCTTGCCCATGAATAAGTGGGAATTTTGTCTGAATATAGCTGATACAATAGTTGAGGGAAGGATGTTGTGGAATATTGTTCTAACTAGGCGAAGATGTGTTACATTTGTTTATGCTACAGAATATTTAACCATGTAAAGGTGTGTACTTTTGTTTATGCTGCATTTGTTTAGTGCTGTAGGATATGTGTTTAATTATGTAAAGATGTGTTGCATTTCTTTCAGCTTGCCTACCTAAGGCACCTGATTGGTCTAATAAAAAGCTGAATGGTCAATAGCTAGGCAGGAGAGGGATAAGGTGGGGCTGCCAGGCTGAGAGAATAAATATTTGAAAAAATATACGCTCAAGAAGAGGGGAACAAAAGAAGAAGGAAGAGAGAAAGAAGAAGATGCCAGGGCCAGCAGCCAGCCAGACATAGATAAGCAGTGAAAGTAAGATATATAGAAGAAAACTAAAAAGCCCCAAGACAAAAGGTGGGTAAAGAGAAACAGATTAATTTAAGTTACAAGAGCTATCCAGAAATGAGCCTAAGCTAAACTGAACATTTCTAATTAATAAGAAGGCTACATGTCACCAGGTAGTGGTGGTGGTATGATGGGGAATGTACTCTGTGTATGTTCATCTTATTGATTGTTGAATAAAGTACTGTTTGGCCAATGAGGCAGCAAGTTAGGCGGGACTAGGAGTCAAGGAGGATTCTGGGAAATGTAGTAGAGAAGAGATGATCCAGGCAGGATGTGACATAGGAGGGAGATTCATACATAAACAAGGGAAGAAGTGGGCCCCTTCTCTCTTTCTCCAGAGTCATCATGTTATCCTGGGATGAGGACACCAATGGAAGGTGTCAGATAAGATAAGTCTTATAAAATATATAGATTTGTGATAATTAAGACTGAGCTAACAGATGAGAATCCTAGTCATTGGCCAAGCAGCATTTGTTCCTAATAGAAGTCTCTGTGTATTATTTGTGGCCCTAACTCGGCAGGCAGAACTCAGGTGGCTGGCAGAAAGTGCCCACGTAGCGGTAGGGCTCGGGCAGCTTTGGGCAGAAAGATTTATCATAACAGTGGTGCACATCTTTAATCCCAGCACTCAGGAGGCAGAGGCAGGCAGACCTCTGTGAATTCGAGGCCAACCTGGTCTACAGAGCAAGTGCCAGGACAGGCTCCAAAGCTACACAGAGAAACCCTGTCTCAAAAAAAAAGAAGGCTCCATGTCATGATTTGGAGGCTGGTTGGTGGCTCAGAAGAAAAAGCCCGGTACAGAAGAACTCAGCTTCCAGGTTCTGGCAATTACAAATAATGCTATGAACATAGTTGAACAGATGTCCTTGTAGGAATATGTATCTTTTGTGTATATGCCTAAGAGTGGAATTGCTGGATCTTGAGGTAGTCTGATTCCCATT